TCCACCGCCGATACTCTTGTCGCACTGAACTCAAGGTCAACCTCGTCCAGCAATGAAATGTCGTGTGGAAGCAGCCACGTTTCTTGCAGTGCTATCACATCCGCCTTACTACATAATTCTCTAACGCACTGCATAGACTTCTTTATATCCTTACAGTTGAAAGTAATGAGTCTTAACTTGTGTTTATCCATCATTGGTTTTAACTTTGTTCTCTTCTAATGACCGAAAAAAGGTAAACAATGAGTCCACCTGTCACTGTTGTTTACGGTTAGTGCGACCCGAGTCTCGGAAATTAATGAACTGCCTAAAACGAATATCCGTCGGCCACAGTTCATTATCTAGATATAAAGATAGTTTGCTTTTTGATACAAATATCTTATACGAATCATAGCTTTTTTCACGTCGCATTTTTAACTTATACAGTGATACTTGCTCTTTTGTCTTACTATAAATATATTCCTTAATGTCCATTTCCGTGACCTCCTTAGCAACGTTATAAATTAACAAGGGGACTTTTATATCAGCAGCTCTAAAATTTCCTATTTTATTCAGTGCACTGCCTGTATTTCCTATGAGCCGATTACGTAATCTTTTCCGTTGCACTTGAATCCATTCTTCATTAGGTTTTACAGGTTTCCATTGTGCCCCGTCGCCGACTATCTTTGCTAAGCATTTCTTACCGCCGCATTCGTTCGGCGTTGAAATTTCTGACAATAAATGTTTATCTAAATCAGCTGAGCACAGAGTGGGTGCCGGTGGCGGCGACAACGCGCTTGATTGTTGTTCACTCGTAATATTACCGGTTTGACGATCGTCTACATTTACACCGTCGTCAGCTGATCGAACCGACCGTTCACACATCTGTGGCGGTGATTGAGGGTATGTCGATAATGCAGCACTTCTTATTCCGTCTTCAATTTTTGGATTACTGCTTCCTGAATGAGGTTCTTCGATGTTAATAATGCCAATGGGTCCACTGTCTACATGACATGAGCCTAAATAAGCCCCTCTCCTGTAATTGACATTTTTATGCTGTTCGTCCGGTTCTGCACATGGGTCTGTCGGCTCTGTACAAGTACCTGGAGACTTCACATGCCCTTTGGAACTCAGGGCTTCAAGGAGCTCATCTTTCGTCACACACTCAGCTTTTAGCTTAGACAATTCTTCACGAAACACCAGCAAATCCTTTAATAGTCTGGTAACATCAATATGATCAAATGTGATCGGTGGTAATTTGTGTAGATCACGAGCCACAAAAACAGGTATTTTCTCCGGATCCGTCTCTTTAAAAACTGTGATTATATCCTGGAGGTCCCGTTCAGCCTTGCCGTCATTCCTTCGCGATATTTTGCGTTTATCAGTATGCACTGATTCGAATAATAACGACTTAGCATCCTCTATCTCCCGCGTTGAAAAACTAGTTCGACACAAACGAATTAAACTTTCATTATCCATAACTTGTATTTTAGAATCAATAAACGTTAATATCTCGTTTATAACAATGTTACAAGAATTACACTTTATTAGATTCGCCATTATATTCGAATATCACTATTTTTGAGCCGAACGTAATCAACCGACAAAGCGATGCGACACAGCCAGCTGCGGTCAAAAACGCGATGCGACTGATTTATAACTTGAAAACGGTAAGTAATACAAAAAAATTTTTTATACAAAAGTTGTTAGTAATTATGTACGAAACAACTTTGCCATTTAAAGTTTTCCATTAAAATGATATTTTCAGGGTGAAAAAGTGAAAAAACACTTTTTTGAGACTTTAGCGCCACCTACAATGCGCATTTTTTGTTGTACGAGATTGCAACAATGACATAAATTGTAGCACTCAACGCCCTCTACCATTATGGTCGAAAAAAAAGGTTTCTGAAATGCATACAAAACAAGAAAAATGCGTTTCAAAAAACTTTTGACGTTTTTTTTTGAGTTTTTCAAAAAACGCCTACGAGTTGAACATGCCCATCGCCAAGGTGGCTTACTGACGTCATTTGGCAACAGAAAAAACAAGACTTACCCTTTAGGTTTTTTTTTCACTGAAACGATATTTTTTTCAACAGATTGACTGTACTATAGGCTAAATCTGATTTAAAAGATCATATTTTTATTAATAATCATTTTCTATGGATATTTTTACGAGGTACCTATTGTCACGTAAACGTTTTTTGAACTCTCATTTTGTCGTGTAGCGACAAAATATATAGAATAAAAAAAGGAAGGAGAAAAAAGAAAGAGGCTATAAAATATATAGATTTACAAGAATAAGTATTTACAGAAAGAATATTAAAAAATAGGGGTATAATGTGAGATGTGTGATGTATGTAGTGGTGAAGTGGGCGTGGGTCGTCGGCTATCTTCAGTGAAGGCTTGAGCGGGTGGCCGTGCTGTTGGCAGACAGGCGGCGTTGCTGGAGGACGACAGCGCTCCTGGTCCGGTGTCTCTCCTCTCAGTTCTTGGCCTGCTCTGCTGGTGGCTGGCAGGCGCTCTTGATAAGACCTCAAATGCATGGCAGGCAGGCGTGTTTCCTTACATTAAGAAACAAAAAAATGCGTAAGTGTCTTAGAACACTTGGTGGGAACGAAATTAATAGTACCTAGATTGTTTACTAACAAAGAACTTTTAGAGACGAGAGCTATAAAATTGTGCTGCTCCCGAGGTGTAAACTCTACTTTTCATCACCCTTTATGAGAAAATAAGTAAATGCAACTACGTACGTACTAAAATTACGTTTATACATTTACATACAAGAACAACAAAACAATCTTTGAAAAACGCCAAACAACTTTTTCTGAAAATGATTTCAACTTTCTTGCATTTGTCCAAAATACGAAATTTTCAAATGCTTTTTTATAAGGACTGTAACATTTTTACGCATACTTTAAACCAAATAAATTCGAATTTGAGTAAACAATTATGTACGAAGGCGAATGTGTTTTTTCATAAACTTCTTTTTTATTTGGTTGTGCACGCGGTTTACTTTGCGAATTTTTCATTAATGTTCGTCATTGATTTCTTTAGTGATTGAAAATTTTACTAACAATATCCACATTTCTAATTACTGATTCTAGTCACTAGGGATTAAAACGCTATTTTGGTTGGCGAGTACAGGCCCAATCTCAGTTTTCACTAAAAAAAGTATCCTACCCTTCAATCTGCACTGGCCTCAGTTCGGAATAGTCTCTGTGCCCCCGTCCCCGTGCGGAATGAACCCAGGCCCAGTGCGGAATGGTCCCAGTGCAGAATGGGCCCCGTGCGGACGCTCCCGGTCCATTGCACACGCTCCAGGTCCAACACCCGCCAAACAGTACTTTAAACCAAGTCCACAACCACCGCCGTTAGTGGTCACACACCTCGCTGCCGATCTAGCTGCCTAGCTAGTTGCTTAACTAGCTACCTCGCTAGGTTGTAATTATAAATTTTGGCCTAGCCTCCTATACGCCGTACCTTCCGAAAAGAACCTTCGTTCCAAAAACTTTTGTATTTGTCTATTCTAATATTATAAAGAGGAAAGATTTTATTGTTTGTTTGTTTGTATTGTATGGGCTCCGAAACTACTGAACCGATTTGAAAAAATCTTTCACATTTAGAATCCTACATTATTCCTGATAAACATAGACTATAGAGCATTTTTAAAAAAGTTGAGGTCCCGTATGAAAATCCATCAATTACCCAATGTGTGAAAAAAATACCAATGAATAACCTTATATCACGTACGCTGCGGAAGTTATTGACAATATAGCAGAACTGATCTACTAAAGTTTTATAGAGAACATCAGTACCTACAAAAATGTCCACAATACTATATGTTTAACTATTACAGTTATCTAAAGAAAAGTTTACTAGAAAAAAAATCCACGCGGACCAGGCAGCGGACGGGACTCGAACCCGCACCCTTCGCAATCCGGGCGAATGCACTGACCATTATGCTACCACGGCCCTATTTGCCGCGTCGAAATTTTCCTAGCCTTAAGCTGCAAGGCAGCGTCATCTTTTTTTCTAGTAAACTTTTCTTTAGATTTAAACATCTAGCAGTTAAATGCTTAAAAATAAATAAAAACATAACTATTACAGTTATGTCACAATTATAGGTCCCGTGCGATTTCACCCGCGTAAATTTTAGAAAAAAGGATATAGTAAATCAAACTTTAAAAAATGGGCATATGCTGTCGCGGACTTTCTTATAGAAATTTTAGAGGGAAACATTTATGTCTACTGTAACTTTAACCGTTTACACAGCACTTATAAATGGAATATTTTTACTGGTTTTTGCAACATTTTCATCGATGTACCGCTCCTACTGGTAGTTGATTATACTAAAGCTCTAAACCGAAGCGAGGTCGGACTACTAGTATAATAATAATAATAATTTATTCATTACATTTCATGTTGTTGTACATTATATATATATATATATATATATATATATAATTAGTTTTACTTACATTTAACAACAATTACATTTTAATTGGAGCGTTGGTATCTGCACTAGTATAAACTGTATGGCAGGTACCAGCGCCTTCCCATCTTTTAAATAATCATATTGCCAAACTAACAATAGATAACATTAGATTTTTTTTCCTAAAAGTTTGCATTACTAAATTATACTGAAGTTTTATATAATTATAGAGCATGATAGACTGTCGTGATTGTTCTGTGATTGGGCAAATATTTGTGTTGTGTAGTAAATTCCGTATGTAGAATATGTAAAAAGAAAAACTGTTTACTGTTTAGCGCATGATGAGGCCAACTTTAAGTACAGTTATATTATATCCTAATACGTAAGCATATGTGTAAGTTTGTTTGTATTAATATAGCTGTGTTGATGGTCCATAAATAAATAAATAAAATAAATAAAGTAAGTGTGATTTGCGTGCTTTAAATAAATCAATTTTACAAATAAATAATAAATCATGTCATAAATATAGTATATAATAATATAGCATATAATAAACCTATTTGTTTCTTATAAAAACACATTTATTACACAGAAGCTGACTATCCACGGGTCTCCTTCGCTGTGGGAGGTTCCACCAGGATTAATAGATTGCATGCCTGGACTACGCATATTGGATCTCCGACGGAACGGCATACGGCATATGAGAGATGAACTACTGAGCAGACCACCAAACTTGCAAGAAGTTCATTTGAGCGGTAAGCAACTATCATATCTAGCCTTCGTAAAAGAGAGTTAGGGCATAGCGGATTTCCAGCTTGAACGCCCGTTTAGGGAAATAACCTCCATCTTACAGTGGACCACAGTAAAATAACACTACCTTTTGGTGGTGTTGTGTTTCTGTCGGTGAGTAAGTTTCCAGGGCTTCACGGGGTAGGCAATTGGGTCAGGGTAGGCAACGGCGCGATGATATTTTTTGTATCGTTAGCATCTAAAGGCTGTGGTGGCCGCTTGCTATCAGACGTGCTATAGCTACAGGCTTGTTTGCCGCCCTTTACATAACATTTTTATCCACTTATGCAATTATAATTATTTATTTATGCAGTATCTTTTTTCTTTGATATTAATAGATGGCGAGGCAGGCCTTATGATATTTTATTGGGCAAGCACAGCAAACAACAGCATTGCGTTGGTGTTGGTGCCGTGGTAAAATTTTTAATACACTGCGCCGTTTCGATAGATACTGGAAAGACGAAAATTGTGTTAATATGCACTCTTGTCAGGTTATTTACGAAATTTCTTTATTCGGTCGCCGCGTTCAAAGCCCGCGATAAAATCTATGCAATAGCTTAAAACTTAAAACAAAAGACGCTATCGTTTCGGTTATCTCACTACTACCTGCAAGATTCGTTGCTAATTTTACGATCGTACATGGCATAGATCGGTCTCTTAGACCGATGACGATAGTAAAGGTGTTGTATAGGTGTCACAATGTTTTTGTATGGAAAATGCAACGATAATAAAAACCTTTTTTATATCTTTGAGGACATACTATAATGTTATGTCCTGACTGCTATGTTGAGGAATTATTACTTACTTAAGTTTTTATTTTTATTATTTTACGAAATATTCTTTAGGATATTTGTTTCTTAGGTTTTCACGCACACCACTCATTAAAATCAAAACATGTTTCAACGGTATAGATTCACTGATTTATTTATTGATTGACGTTTCGCATTCTAGTAGTAGTAGTTTAATTTTGTCCATTGGGACAGGCGTTTCGCATTCTTATCAGGATGCGTCTTATTTCAGACGACACATCGCGAAAAGGATGCGAAACGTCAATAAATAAATAAATCAGTACATCTATACCATTGAAACTTGTTTTATTGCTTAAGATTTCAGTTTTCTATTTAAAAAATATATTTTTGTAAAAGTTCTGTAGCTCATAGAAATATTGTTTCTTACCAATATGGCTGTAATAATGACAGTTATTATTAGCTTATAAAAGTACTTAAATACTATCTATAAAACTTTGATTGATAATTATGTTTAACACATTCTCAACTAATACTAAACCTTATTTTATGACGAAGAGTTACTAAAATTACACTGAATAAGACTTATGAATCTGAGTTTCACAGACCTTAGGGGAGTTCGGGTAAGTTTAGTCGAGTCGAGTCTGTGCCTTGCCCACAAACTAAAATTATTCAATTTGCCGTTCACTACTAAGGTTAGCTAGTTGATGGATAATAGAAAAATAAAAATCTACTATGACGTACGATACACCTCTTTCTATGTTCTGTGGTAGGTTTACACTCAAAGAATGGATTGTTGTAGATTCGTCTTAAAGTAAATATTTCAGGAAAAAAGGATGTCTTAAGTATAAATTCGCCACAGTTCTATTTTTATGAAGTAAATAATCATCATGTTAGCAACTCCAAAATACTTCCTGCAATTTTTATATTAGCTTTCTAATAATTGTGGTATTCTGGTTTTAAGTTTGAATATTTGAATCGGTCAATTGATATTTTTCACATTCGGTAGTAGGTATAAAATAGATTTACTGCTCTGGTAACACTAAACTCGATGGCGCAGAGGAGCTCGATGGCGCAAGTGGTTAGCGCGTTCGGCTGCGATCGTTGAACTTAAGCAACTTTCGCAGTGGTCGGTCATTGGATGGGTGACCAAAAATTACTATCTCGAGCTCCTCCGTGCTTCGGAAGGCACGTTAAGCCGTTGGTCCCGGCTGCATCTGCAGTCGTTAGCACTCACCAATCCGCACTGGGCCCGCGTGGTGGGTCATGGCCCAATCTCCCTATTCCATCCATAGGGAAGGCCTGTGCCCCAGCAGTGGGGACATTAATAGGCTGATGATGATGATGATGATCATGAACACTGAACTGATAGGTCTAAAATATTCTAATATAGTTTTAGGTACTTTTCCGTTACCGATAATAATTAAACGATTTATTTATTTATTCTTCATCCAGCCTACGAACGAGCAAAACGTGCGAAAATAATTTTGAATGGATTATTGGTCCTGCGATTAGAAAATAAATGTGCTCAAATGTAATAGGGATTATGACGAGGTAAAGTAAACGAAATTCTATTTAGTCCGTCTGTTACATTATCAAAACATAAGTGACGTCACTTCTAGGTAAAAAGTGTTTCTAGATGTATTGCGCAGTCGGAAAAAAAGAAAAAATACGTGTTCTGGACCTCTATTTTTGAATCACTCGTCTTGCGTCGAACGCTCGATTTCTACTAAATTTCATTCGACATAATTAATTCCGTATTTTTGAATCGCTCGAGTGCAACGAATGGGTGAGACCACTCGCTGCATGACGAACGGTGGAGGCGAATGATAGAATAATTGTCAAATTTTTTGTGCTATTAGACGACGATAATCTATCATTGTCGTGCTTTATATGAAACGACAACGAGAATTATTTGTTCGGTTTTCATTGCGGTAATTACCGGTTTTTATTTTTTCAACGTGAAATGAGTAAAATTTCATATTTCGTATTAAACAGGTAACTCTGGTGACGAATGATTCAAAAATACGGAAAATCAGCATTATGCGACTTGAAAGTCGAAGGTGACATATGTCGCATTCGACGATACTATGTCAGACGAGTGTTTCAAAAATAGGGCTCCTGTACTTTTTAAATATCTACCAGATAGAAGTAGAAAAAAAGGTAAGCCATCATCCTTATTGTATATTCTGCTAATAATTCGGAAGACATCTAATGCCTATCTCTTCTAATGCCTACCTATATATCTTTATCTTATATCTTATATATAAAATTCTCGTGTCACAATGGTAGTTACCACACTCCTCCGAAACGGCCTGACCGATTTTTATTAAATTTTATATGCATATTCCGTGGGTCTGGGAATCGGCTACTATCTATTTTACGGTATGGTTGTCCACCTGTAACGTAGTATTCTGAAACCTACAATGCGCTTTCGCGCAAAAATTCAAACTATTGGGTATTGTAACGTAGTGTCCTCATATGGGTTAGGAGGAATGTTATCCCAGGAAATTGATAGAACACTACGTTACACACCCCTAAAATTTTTTTGGACAATATTTATTTTTTTATAATGTGGTATTAAAAAATACATACAACCCTAATTTTTTTCTTCTGCCACCTGCCCCTATTTTTATGGCGGAACGAAGTTCGCTGGGTCAGCTAGTAATGTCTAAAATTGGCGCTATTGATCCCGAAAGTGACATTTTACTTTACAGGATCGTCCTATAAGTGTGATGAGGTGATTTGCTCCGTATAAAAATTAATGTAAAACATTCAATATACACATAATCGTACATTATTTAATGAGCGAATAAAATGCTTTATTTATACTGTTGGATTCCCAACTTTTCTGTTTTTCTCCAGTTTATATTACATGAAACTGATTACAGCACATTATCCTTGATTTGATTAAAGTACAGCAGGACCTCTTTAATAAAATTTACCACCCATTCGGATTCTTGGAACGTTCAGATTTATAGGGAACAGAGAATTTATAGGGTATTTTTTATGAAATAAAACTAAATAAGTACTATTGTGAAATTTCTAATATATTTATAATATTTATTTAGACCAGCATATAAGTAATATAACGTCTTATAAACTATGGACACCAATATGAGCTTAAGAATATAAAAGACAATCTTTAGCGTCTGCTGCCGATCTAAGATTTTCATCCTGTATTTCAGAGTGCCTCAATCCTCAGGTTTAGACAATTACTTGTACCCTATAAGCTAGTGAAGTAAGTTTTTTGTGATACTGATATTACAAGAAATACTTATTTGGATTTTATAAAACTGTTAAAATAAAAATTGTGTAAGTGAATGACCTCTCTGTGTGTAATGTGCGAGTGAATGGATGTATGTGAGAGGATGTGTAAAAGTATGCATGAAAAAGGTCCAATGGATTCTTAACGATGACAAAATTTTTATTCTTAACAATATAATTCACTATAAACTTAATAACACTATGTGCACAATCATCACAGAACTAAGTTAAAATTATATTATCGTTGTATAGAAATAAGCTCCTCTGTCTCTTTATTTTCAGTATATAGTACATAGTATATTCATGTATAAGCATTACATTTATATAACTGCAAAAAGAAATCCAATATTTTACTTTTTCGGAAGGTATTTCCATTGGACCCTCAAGATTCGACCCAAAAGCAAAAAGTGCCCATTGGACCTCTTTTTTGGTGTCCATTGGACCTTCTTAAAACATTTTATATTCAATGTGCCCATTGGACCTCTTTTTTGGTGCCCATTGGACCTCCTTAAATTTTTTATATTCAATGTGCCCATTGGACCTCTTTTTAAGTGCCCATTGGACCTCTTTTGAAGTGCCCATTGGACCTCTTTTTAAGTGCCCATTGGACCTTCAAGATTATACCCTACTGCCAGTTGGACCTTATTAACAGTTTTTTTAAGCACAGTACAGTCATGTAGAAAATTGTAGACAAAAATAATATTAATAGTAGGTATTATAAAGCCACTAACTAAATACTGTATAAGTACTGACTCCAAACAGTAAGTAGTCCTAAACAAATTATAAAGAAATCAGGTTCCCTTTTTTTCGAATTAACGATATTTCGCCGTCCCCGGAGAATAAAAAGATAACTACAAAAATGTAAGTTTTCAGAAAAAATAAAAATAACTGTTTTTTGTCTATTGCTCTATAAATACTGGACGCAGACAGATGATAGTAACCTTTAAGAAAAG